GCTGGCCTAGGTAACACAGTGTGACCTTATCTTTAAAACAAAAAATAAAAAAAGAACACTAAGAGACTATAGGGCAGTGATGGCAAACCTAGAGATGAATGCCCATACTGCAACCCAAAACCTACTTATTCATCTCAAAATGCCAACACTGCAATTAAACCTGAATACTTCAGTTCCAGTTTAGAAAAAACTCATACATTAACATCCTTTGTCTTAAAAGAAAAACACATAACATGCATGCCACAGGTTTGCCACCACTGCCACAGCAGATACTGGGGATGTAGCTCAGTGGCATAGTGCTTGCCTGGCATGTGCAAGGCTCTAGGTTTGATCCCCAGCACCACAAAAAAAGAGAAATAATATTAGAGACCTTTAAAAGATAAATGTAGAGAATGTAGCTCAGTGGAAAAGTGCCTGTTTAGCATGAAAAAAGTCCTGAGTTCAATTCCCAGTACCAAAAAGAAAAAGGCATATATCTACAACACAATACTAGTGGTATTGAAAATATTTTATATAAATAACACAAATGAGAACACAAACATATCAAGTAACATTTAAAATACATAAGCATTACATAATCAAGTAAACACGTAAAAGAAATTGTTTAAAATATATAAAAATGAAACTACATACAATATAAAATAATTGATAGTGGGAAAAAATACTCTCTGGGTCTATTCATTTCTGTGTGAGGCACTGATTGTCCTTTATAATAAACTACCTTTTCAAGGACATTTGTAAAGCAAATAAATAACCTTGGAAGATAAAAGATGGGGTCTCTTTTCAGAGCAAAAACGAAGCATATTTACTATCCTAGTATTAAAAAAGATTTAATTCTGTAAGTTTACACCTGTTTCCCTATAATACAATTCACTGTACGTGTAGTAAATGTTACTTGACAATCTTCATGTAACTAGACGGGAATTGGGATTCAAGGCACTAGCACAAAAACAATATTCTGGATCTTGCTAATGGTGTAATAAACTGATTTTCATCTATGACCCATAAGTCTCATATTTCCTACCAGCATCCACAAAACTGTCATGAACGCACTTGTCTTCATAAGTAGGGTAAAAACCTCAGATCCCATAGTTCTTGACAACTATTCACAAGTTCTGAAAGTTTTATACAAATATGTAAATATGAGTCAAAAGAAACTATTTATGGTTCCAGTACATTTTTTTAGAGAAATGGCAACTTTGACGCAAAAAGAAAACACAGTGTAGAAAGTTTAATAACCATATCACTATGTCTGAAAACATGAAAATGTTTATAAACTTGTTTTTACATTTACAGTCAATTCTCATTATTCATGGTAATTATGGTTTTTAATGCTGCCATGAGCCCTGAATTAGTGAATCAATGTTCCTATGAAAAACACAAGGTTAAGTTCCAGCAAAAATTTGGTCACATTTTAATTCATCAATACATAATATTGTTTTAGGTGTTTAAAGACACCTTTCTTAATCTACATATTTCTATAAATGATTGTAAAGTCTGAATGATTCAAAGCCAGGGGCATTGAAGGCTGTCTTTGTCATATAGGTTTGTTTGCCAACGTCCTCATCAAACAAGTCAGTCTCAAAAAAAAAAAAGAAGTCAGTCTCACCAATTAAATAACCCTTTTCCTGTGTAACATGAAACAAATATTTTTAAGACTTTTCCCCACCGATACCTGATCTGTACCTGCACAGCATGTAAGTTTAACATTTTTCATGCCATATCAACTTTTGAAATGTGCCAGCCAGCACTAAGACAGGCTTATATTTTCCTAATACCGGGTAACATGTCTTTGGCTTTCCTTGTAATAAATAATAATGGTGTCCAAAATGCTTTATTGGTTATTTTATGGCTCCAGAAATTTAGCTGCTTTTCCATCTTTTCCACAGCTTGATCAAGTAATATAGATGTTACTTTTTGTACTTCCCGGAGTGGCCTCACAAGTATCCTCTTCTTTTTCTGGATGTACCATACTTTTAATTCATGACACTGAACTCACAACTAACACCATTGTAAATCATGCTCAAATGAAGCTTATCTGACAGGTCCATAAGGCACGTCACAGCTTTCTTGCACTAAAAACACTACACGGCACTTCAGTATTTTATCTGGGGATCACAGTAAAATCACAAGAAAAACACAAAAATGAGAAAAACACGGCACTAAATACATCACATAAAGGATGCTTATTTACAATATGAAAGCTGACACAAAAAAGGCCTTGTTCAATGTTGGCTGGGAATACATGCATTGGGGGACTCAAATTTTTAACTGCTCTGTGTGTCTGTGAATAACCACGAACGCACCATATTAACTTTGGTCAAAGAAATTTTATTAAGTAGGTGAATTTGCAAATATGAAATCTTTGAATAATGAGGATTGACTATGTGCATAATTTGAAATCTACCCATAAATTTAACCACGTTCTCTTTTAACCTGTACCTAACCAGGCTCAACCCCTCCCCTGACTCTGCCCACAACCCACCCAGTACCTCTGATAATAGGTGTCTGAGCGTCCACAGGTGGCCCCTGACTTGCGATAGACTTCACGTCGCTTCCAGCCAGGGCCCAGGGCTGGGCAGTCCAGCCAGTCCTCAGCCATGGAGGCCTCAAGAAGGAGCAGCAGCCTGCAAGGTGGGGAAGGGTGGGGGGTATGGGAGAGACTGAGGCTCTAGAGAGGGGTAAACTGTCCCAAGCTACACAAATCATTGGTATCCTTTAATTCTCTGCCTAAAACCTAGCACCTGCCACAGGGAACTAGCTCATGTATGGGAGAGAAAACCCCATTCCCATCCCTAATCTTCCCTGTCCTGGAACCAGGGGTTCTTCATTCTTCCTCCTCCTCAACCTGCTAGCTGCCATTGCTCTCCATTCTCAGACTGAGAGTCCAACATTTCTATCACAAAACCAAGACCTTTCTATTCTTCTCCCTCATTCCTACCTGTCTTTGGCACAGGAGACCTTCCCTGACTTTAACATAAGTGATCCTATCTTTCCTCTGTGTCACCCTAACACCCCTGTAATTCTTAAAACCAGTCTAAGACTCATTTCTGTGATCTCCTATTTCCCCTTTCCTTGACCCTAGAGTTGCCAATTTCTTTCGGGATTTTAACTGTCCCACTTCTTCCTCCAGCATATCCTCGTAATTATCCTATTTCAGTAAAATGACTTCAACTTCCTCTGCATCCTCTGCAGAGGAGCCCCCTGCTCCTCTGCATCATTGCCCTGAACAGCCCCTCATTCTTCCTATTCCTGTTTGGAAACCTCCCACGTCTCCCTTGTCACAGCCCAAGAGTTCCCCCAACCACAACTTCTGTTCCTTCAGTGTTCTGATCTACAACTGCCCCAATCTCTGCCCCCAAATCTCTCTATCCCTCTCCTTTACAGCCAGAAAGTTATCCACTCTTTCCCTTCAATGTTCTCATCCTCCATTTCTCTTATCCGCCTGAGAAACTCTGATTTCTCCCTCAGCACTCCAAACTGTCCCCACCTTCCTCACCGTTCATGTCCCAGGATCACAACATCTCTGTCGGCCTCCTGATACTCTATTCATACTCCGTGAGTGCCCCGTCACTCCCTTTCAGCATCCCAATCCTCCCATTTCTCTCTGTCATAAACGTAAGTGCCCCTTATTTTTCCCTCGGAGCATTATGAACCCCCACTTATCTCTCCTTAACTTGGAAGGCCCGGTGTCTCCCCTGCACTGTCTAATCTCCTCCATTCCAACCCGTCTTCATTCCGAGATCTTGATGCTCTTATCAGCGTTCTGAGCCACATTCCATCCTGTCCTCCGTCTAACTCCCTCTGCTGCTCCCTTTTAATGTGCCAACGCCGCCATTCCTCCACCTCCTCGGCCTGAAGGCCTTTCATTCCTCCCGTCAGCGTTCTGAGCCTCAATTCCTTCCTACCCTCAGCCTGAGCGCTCTCCACTCCTACGCCTGTCTCACCAGCTTGGCACCAGGACCGTAACTTCCGCCGATCTAGGCCCTCAGACCCATGGTAAGGGTCCCGCCCGCGACCCGCCTAGCTCTACTCTTCTTCCTCCTCCGCAGCCTCCTCCTCGGAAACGGTAGCTGTCGCCTCCGCCGCTGTTCGTTGCTCCCGGAACCGGAAATCCGTTGCCTGCCTCTCAGGCTCCGCCCCCGACGTGAAACTTGCGCGGCTTTGGCGGCACGTGCCCTTACTGGGGAGGCTGCCGCGCCTGAGTGCCGAAGCCCCAAAGCTGCGCGCGCCCTTTGTGTGCTGCGCCTGCGCACTGATTCTAACCGCAGTTTACAACCCCCTCCCTTTCGGGGGACTGCAGCGAGTGCGCTGCTGGCTTTCCCAGATAGCGCATCCTCCCCTAGCAGCCCAGTCTCGACCTAAGCGGTGTGGACAGTATGGTCTCTGTGTCTTCGAGTAGTCCGCAGGCGCAAAGCCTGGTGCTGCACTTGCACACCTCCCAACGGGACGAGCATTCCCTGCCAGCCCTCTCAGTGGCCCCCTGCATCCCCTCCGTTAGTGTCCCGCCTTCTCCCAGCGAGAGTCCCCAGCTCCAGCTTCTTCCCGCAGAACGGATGGGGGGAGGGGGGCAGTGGCACGCTGCAGGTACAGACATAGGGAGTGGGGTGGGTGTCCATGCCCCAAAGCCCGGGCTGTGCCCCTCAACGGGAGAGGGGTGGCGTGGGGCTCCCCACACAAGCCTAGTGGGCTCCTGCTGTAAACGCGTCTCCAACTCCGCCTGGCACAGGGCAGCCAGGCCACCACACGGGTATGAGTGCTGACCGGGTGGTTACCACTACCCCAAGACAAGAGGCTGCGCATATAGGTCGTTGGGCTCTCCCTTGGCAGGTCCAACCCCCACAGCCCAAGCAAGCAGAGTGGGTGCCAACTAGATACTCACAGCCTACTCATGTACTTCGGTCCTCCTGAGTACCAGTGTGCCACTGCCCATCTCATGCAGGGACTGAGAACACAGTTGCAACTGCAGCAAGTATGAGGACCATCAGGAGTTATCTTCCTCAGTTCTTCAAAATTTTATTAACAAAACTCAGGGCAGCGGGAAGGCAAGGGTCAGTAGACGTCACAGTCCCACCCAGGCACAGAGAATGGAGAAACGGGGACAGACACTGAGGAAAATTCTGAGAACCTTTTATAGAGCAAATAGGCAGTCAAAAGGTGAGCACAGGGAAAGAAGGAACAAGACGGGGACTGGGGCCACTCCCCCGACTGGAATGCAGGGTGTGAGGGGCTCTGGGCTGGTGAGGATCAGCGGTCGGCACTGGAGCGCAGGTCGGTAGTGAGTGGGTCATGCTGGATCGTTTGGTGCAACATCAGGGCCAGTAGCCCTGCCCGGTTTGTCATGGCCGTCCGTACATTGCGCTCCTGCTCAAATAGCTCGTCCAGCTTGTACCACTGCCAAGGGAGTGGAAGAAGCCATGAGAAACAGCTCCTGAGACTCCCCTAACCCTTGTTAGCATCAACACCTACCACACGAACACGCTCCAAGTCCACTTCAGCACGCCGCAACTTCTCCCAGCAGTAATGCCGATTGCACTGGCGCTTGGGCAGGCGGCAGAAGTCACCTGTGAGCTCAAACACATCACGTACAAGGGGGCACCCACATACTTCATCAGCTGGCACCTGTAGAGAAACCAAAGGTGTCAAGGGAGAAGGAAGAATGGGGCGGTGCTCACAGAGGGAAGGAATGGAGTTTGGGAACAGGGAATGAGGAGGATAAGGAGAAAGGGACTCAGGGAAAGAGAAAGGAATGAAAACTGTCAAGTAGGAAAATGAGGGAAGGAGGGTGAGGCAGGGAGGGACAGAATGAGGGGAACTGAGGGAAAACCTTACTTTGGGGTCCCGTGAGTGCTCGGGGCATAGCACCTGGAGCCGCTTACAGTATGTTTTGCTCTGAGGGTTATAGACATCACAGAAGAGTCGTGTGGCCCTACAAGTTTAGAGATGGTAATGGAGAATGAGAAGAGGCCCACCTATCCTTGTCATGCCCATTTCCTGGCTCAGCTCCACACATATTCCATTTCTGACCCCACCTTTATCATCCCTCCTTGAACTCCCTGTGGCACCTCACTCACCCTTCAATGCGTGTGGGGTACATGGACCCAAAGGACGTCTGGCTCTCATACTGGAGGGATGAGCACAAATGAAGATAATAGTGAATGTGTGCTGCATGCCCTCCCAAGACACCACCAAACATCACATCTGTCCCCCATGGGCCCACTGATGTTCCCACACCATCCACGCCCTAGGCTGACACCCTGACCTTGGCATAGCAGCGCTCCATGTGGCGCAAGGCAACACGGGGATTGATGGGGTGCCCACAAGAGACACAGAAGATCTGCAAGTCTGTGTCATCACTGTCATTCTCATTGCTCTGCATGGGGTAGAAAGAATGATGAGGCCAGGTGTGACCAAGTACTCGACCGTGCCCTGGTAGACCCATGCTTCCTAACCTCCTCATCCTCGCGCACAGCCTGCTGCTTGGCTCGAAGAATGATGGCCTCAAGCTCATGGAATCTGCGCTCCATTTCCTGAAGACGGGTGCGGGCACTCTGCTGCTCACGGCGAATGCGTTCTAGCAGCTTCTTGCCATGCTCTTCAGCAATGCAGGGGCTCTGCTGCCACTGCTGGATGCGCTGAGGCAGGATCTCATAGATTCGGCTGCAAAGAGGGAGTGGGTAGGGTGCCAGTCAGGAAGGTGGCAATTAACAAAATGGATTATGAAATAGTGAAAGGATAATAGGTGAATAGCCAAATGGTAGGTGGATGGGCAGGTAGTGACTGAAAGATGGATGAATGGGCAGATGAATGAATAGCAGATAAGATGGGTCAGTGGCTATACTGATAGGTGAGTGATTGTTCAAATGTAGGATAGATGGCTGACCGATAGATAGATATACACAAGGGCTCTGGTCATGCCCCACTCTGTACTTCCTCTCTTCCACCCCCCCCTAAGAAAGACTCACTTGGCTGCCAGCTTCATGCCACAGTCATCTGAGCAATACTTGGAGCCTGGCTGAGCGGCACGCACACAACCAGGCCCCAGGCACTGTGGTAGTGACGCAGGGTCCTTGGCATCAGCCCTCTCTGGGTGTTTCCATTTATCCTTGTGTTTCTGCTTCTGCCGATGCCGCTTGTATCTTTCCTCCTTCTGTAGGATAAAACAGGTGAGGTCACAGTGGAATCAAAGTCATCCTCAGACCCTACCTCCCTCTCCATTCCAGCATTTTCTGGCTCTTGTCCCATCCAGCCCTTGACCTCTGCATCTCCCTCCCCACCCTGCTCCTGCCTTCCCATACCCTTTTTACCCTCTCCATCACCTTCTTCTCAGACTTCTTCTCCCGACGCTTTACATGCTTCACTTTCACTGCCCTCTTCCGAAGTGCAGGGTCCAGGAACGGAGACTCTTCTGTGTCACTCATCCAGGGCTGCAAGCAGGGTGTGTAGTGACCCTCCTGCCCCACTCTGGACAACCCAATACCTATTCACTTCCCAAAGCAACCCTTCATACTCTATGCCTTCCTCTTTCCCCTTATGAATCTCTCTGCTTCTATAACCTTCACCCTTCCACCCAGGGAGGTTCCTGGTGCTCACCAGGCCATGGTCATCAAAGGCTCCTGCACAGAAATCTTGGTACAGGTCAGGATCCAGTGTTAGGTCCTCATCTGACAGTGGCTCAGGTGTGGCTGTAGCCTCAGGTGGTTCCTTGATGGTGGATGATGCCACTGCCCCCTCGTCTTCACGCATTCGCCCCAGCTTCTGTGATGGCTGTGGCTGCTGTTGAGTGGGCGGTGGCCGCCGGGGCCTTGGCAAGGACTCTGAGGGCGTCACCGGCGAGAGCTGCAGGGCAGAATCTCAGGACTGGCCCTGACCGCCCTGCCCGCATGCCCTGCCCCGCCCTGGGGGCTGGACTCACCGAGGAAGGGAAGTACTTGTACGATTCCTGTGCCGGCAGGAGGAAGGCCTAGGTCAGCCCCAGATAGATGGAGGGTAGCCCTGCCATAGCCCTACCCATCTCATCTTCCCTTGACACACTTGTACCCGTACCCCTCACCAACAGGACATGTTCTGCCCTGCCGGCTGTGTCCTGACATGCCCAACCACCTATACACACCTGACTCTACCCTGCCTTCCTAGGATTCAGGGGTTCTCCTGCCAGCCCAGCATATTTAGTCATGTAGCATTCATGCATCTACACATGCTAGGCCCTTCTCTGCTGTCTGGATAAAATCAGGCTTCATCCCACCTGGGTCCATCATTCCTAGTCTCAAACAGCTCTACCTGGACCTCCCAGCCATGCACTCCCACCTGACCCTGCCCAGCTCTGCCCATGCTCACCCGGGCCCGAAGCTGGCACTGGCGCAGCCGGCACTTCTGCCGAATCTTATTGGGGCCCCCGAATTTCTTCATGTCACGGCAGAAGTCACAGTTGCCACAGTCCTCTGTGCGTCGGCATGCCTCACACTCACCACACATGCGGGCTGACCTTTTGATCTGCTGTTGCTGCTGGTGATGCTAAGAGATGTTGCCCAGAATAAAAATCAGGAATTTGGGCATGGGCCAAGATGGGACTACTTTACCCAGCCCAACCACTGCCACTCACCTGACTAGGTGTGGCCATCAAGGGCTGTGGAGAGGATTTATGGGGTGAAGCAGAGCCCCGAGCAAGCATGGCCCCAACCCCTGTCCCTGACCCTGCCCGCCGCTGCAGGTCTGGATCTGGGACAGGCCTCTTGCGCCCTCCACCCTCATCCCGGGGCTCACTGCTGTCCCGTTCATTGCCATCCCGCTCCCGTGACTTTTTGTGCCGATAGCGAATCTCCAGCTTAGGGTCCTTCTCTGTGGGATAAAGGGATGGTTGGCATGGTGAGCTTTAATTGTCCCAGAACCTCTTTCTTCCTTTTCTCTCTCTGACCCACCTGTTTGCTTCCCTGCTTCAAGGCAGAGTTGCTTACATGTCAGTAAGCATGTCAGTGCTTACAATGCAACCCACATTCCAGCTCACCACAAACCAACAAACACCCTGCCCACGGGCATATACCACCTATTACCCATGATCCCTCCTACCATAGCTCTTCCCCTTCTCTGGAAGGCCCACCTGCTCTCCATATGCATCCCAGCTCCCTCACCTCGGCACTCCCGACAGTACCACTCTCGGATGGCCTTGGCCATCTTCTCAGTGATCCGGATGCAGTCACCATGGAACCACTCATTACAGCTGTCACACCCGCTGCAGAGGATGGGGTGGGTGACAGAGATGTGAAAGGTATGCCCAACTGGCCTCCCCAACCTTGCCAGATGTCAGCCCCACCAGCCTCTCCCTAACTTACATCATGAAGCAGTTGATGTCCGGTTTTCGGCAAATGCAATAGATGGGTGCATTCTCCCCATTCTCTGACTTGCTGTCGTCCCCAGCGTCTGGATGCTCTGGGTCTGAACCATCTCCTTCCTGTGGGACACCCCATTATGTCTCCTTAGACAACCCAAGTTGTACTGGGTCATCTCCCCATTATAGCTCCACATGGCTTGCTACAGATCCCCATCCCCACTCTACCTATGGACTGCCCATCACGGCTCCCCATAAGTCTCTCTGTCATGGTTCCCTAGAGCTCCATCACTCAACTAAATACCTCATTATTCTCCTTATAACTCTCTAAAACTCTGCCATAGACCTTCCTAACACCCTAGGATCACCCTAGTTCATCACACCTACTGTCCCGGTCAGAAGTCTTCACCGAATCCTATCAGGAATACGAGACAGTTAGCACCTAAATTATTCCACACCCTTTCCTTCATGGTCTCACAGACAGATCATGGTTTCCCACCTACTAGTACCCTTAACACAGACTGTCCAATACGGCTCAACACAAACCCCTTATCCCTCTGTCCAAAGAACCCTCGTCACAGTTTCCCACACGCTGTCTGAGGTACCCGCTAAACTTACACTACCGACCCCCGTAATGGCTCAACACAGAACCACAAGAAGGTTCACTCCACATTCCATCATTCTTCCACAGATGCCCATCATTTATTTGGCCCACAGATTCGGGTTACTGCTCACCACAGATCCCCACGCGTCTGCCGAGACACCACAGTTTTAACCCCACCGGCCTCTATCGCCAAACCCCTGCCTGGACCCCGTACTCGCCATATCTCCGCTGTCGGCTCACTCTCACACTCCAGCTGGAGTCCCGCAAACCTGCACAAACACCTCGGCGGCGTCCGCGGCGGTTGCAAAGGCGCCCACAACTACTTCCGCTACTGATCGCACTTCCCGGGCACCGTAGTCCTACTGCGCATGCCCAACAAGAAGGCTCAACGTCAAACAAATGGGTCGCCCTCCTATTGCCTTTGCACGTCCCTCAGGCGCCACCATCTTGATTAATGAGTCCGTACGGTTTCCGAATTCATATGTTCGTGGGAAGCATGGTCGCACCTATAATGTTGCTTTTTTGAGAGCACTACCACCTTGTAAGTCGGGTCCGTACAGTGGCTGCTTGCAAGTCCTCGTCGTAACAGGCAATATGGTCGCACATACTTTGTAACTTCCACAAAAATGTCATCTTGGAATCTGATTCCGTCAGGGAACCGACTTCTTACAGTCCCAAGCGAAACATGGCGGCGCCCTATGGTGGATTTTTACAAGGTCGCCGCCATCTTGGAAGCCAATTCCGTACACCGGTTGCAACAGCAGCTGCTCCAGAAATTCTACTTGGATCAAATGTCATTCATTCCTCCATTCAGTTACTTTCCCCTTCATGTGTATCAGTGAGACACTGGCATGCTGTGTGCCTTACCCGGACAAAGAACACCAGTTTCCTCTGTGGTCTCCAACATCACCAGCCTCCGCTTTTTCTTGGGCTTTTACTCTGAGGTTTTTCAGGCAGGTCTGGTAAAATTCCTCTTCTATTTATTTTATTTAAATATAATCCTGAATATAATTGCAAATTTCATTTTAGTTCTATAAGCTGAACAATAGCCTAAGTATAGCACACTTTACTTTTTTTGTTGTTCAACGAGTAGGACTGAAGACATAGCCCGAAAAACGGGGTCTGCAAATTCCTGTCAGGGCTGGAGGACAAGTTGAACAGCAGTCAGGATCTTCGGGATTCCAGTCTTATGATCTAGTTAATTTTAACAGTTTCATTTTAGTTCTTGACACCGTTAGAGTAATAAATAACTTGGAAAATGACTATCAACACATCTTTCCGGAATGCGTCGCATAAACGCACAAGGACCAATCAACAACCTGAGCTACCTTTGCCTACAAATACAACTCCCCGTCTCCCCCCCCCCCCCCCCCCCGGCCTCATGGATCTATCTGAGTATTTATTCTAGGCAACTAGATTAAGTGTTTCCTGGGTGGTCATTCTCACTCTTGGCTCAAACTCCTTTTCTTACACACTCGTGTGAGACTCTGTTTTAGGTTGACAAAACACTTCCAAATGTTACTCTAAAAGTTGCCGTAAATGTTTTAAACATGGATCTTCAGGCTTATTCCTGGTTATCTTCTTAGAGGTTGTGAAAATAAAATTTTTTAAAAACCCATAAAAGTGAATCCAAGGGAAAAGGAAAAGAACCCCTTAGCTTCACTTGCTTGTAGTTACTTGCTTTTGTCACCAATTTTAGAGATAATGTAATTATACAATGTACTCCCATTATCTTTACTATAGAGAACCCCTCTGACTTAGGGGTCATCGTAGTAATGGTTGCCTAAACCTCTTTTCAGGAACTTAGAGCCCACTTCTGTGTGTCTTAAACTCGTTGAAACCACTTACCCTTCACTTGCTTCTCCACAAGTTTCCGATGGGTAACCTTTGAACGTTAGAGGGCCAAAACCTCCTGCCTCAGAGCATCCTATCACCGCCGTTTCTGAACACTCGCCTTATGAAGCCCCTTGTTTAAATACGCATGCGCAGACTGGTAATTCCCCCCTCCCCCTTTACTTGCAATCACCTTTCCGCGTTTCTCCGAACATCTTGTTTCTTTATCTCACAAATAGCCCTGAACTCATTTCTTCAGGAAGCATTGCTGAGGTTAGCATTGTGGTCTCCATATGATTTGCTGCCTTGTGAATAAGCTCTGTCTTTTACGAAACTCCGTATTTTAGACACTGACATTCTGTGTAGTGGCAAAATGGAACTGATTTGCTAACAAAAGCAATATTGAAGGGATTTTTCAAAGTGGAGTATGTAAGCCATTAAGGGAGCAAGATCTCAAATCTCAAGTAGCTCCCTAGGAATGTGAACATGTGTCCCCACCTTTGACACGGAACGTGGATTCACTCACCGCCAGATGAGAATAGAAGCCAAAAAAGAAAAGATAGCAAAAAATAGAATAGATAGCAAAAAAGAAAAGCTTTCTTGCACGGCGATCCATCATTAGACAGGAGGCAGGCTGAAATCTGCCCCACCAATCAGGGAAGAGGGTTTTTAAAAAATATTCTTTTATTGGTACATTTTAGGTATACAATACGTTTACATTTATCATTGGGTGCTTGTACCTGTACATGATGTATCTTAGTTCTAATTTTTCCCTCATTACCTGTGTGCCCTTCACCCCCTCCACCCTTGGGAAGAGGGTTTCTAAAGGCGTTGGCGGTTGATGGGCTCGGTAATATCCTGGATCTGAATCCGATCAAGTTACAGTATATCTTTTCTGGTTTTTCCTATTATAGTCCTATGTTGTAATTTTATAGTCTGAACCCCATTTCAATTTTGGTCCACATAGCTCCTTGTCTTGAGTCTAAGTTTCCATTGCCTTGAAGTTTTTAGTTCTGTCTAGCACAAGGGACATCCCTAGACTTTAAGGTACCTCTCAGGATGCTTTCCTCTGAAAAACATCTTATGCAACAGGTAGGAATAAGGAAATTATCATTTAAAATATCTAGCAGGCCCTGCAGAGCAAGAGCTGTTTCATTTCCACCCGTTGACTGCAGGATCAACCAGATAATTATGTTGTACCCAGAGACTCGAGATGCATAATAAAAGGTTATTGCATTCTTCTTTTATAGACATTTTCAGTAAGTACATACATTCTTTTTTCTTTCTTTGAAAGAGAGTCTCCTATGGGACTTTGAGACAGGAGTCACCAATGTTGGGCAGTCTGGCCTCAAAATTACAAACATCCTGCCTCAGCCTCCCAGGTGGCTGGGATTATAAATTAACATATAAATTAAATTAAATTATAAATTAATAATAAATTAACACTGCTTACCATACATGCTCCCACATTCTCTACCTTCTTTGGAACACTCATTCAGAACTATGTGCCCCTCCTGAATTACAATTCCTAAGACTGAAAAGGACTCTTAGTTCTATAGCAGGTGGGTCCAACATCCAGCCTAGATGCCAAATGCTGCCATAGATAGCTAGTATTGTGGCCCCACAAGATGGTGAACTTTTATCATTATTTTATGACTTTTAGAGACATTTTTCAAGTCTCAGCTGCAGAGCATAGGCTGCATAGGTGGCAGCAGAAAGTTGTGTAGGGGAGGGCTCAATCCATCACCTGCATCCACCATACAGTCAATCTAATCAAAACCAGTGTGTATCAGACCTTACATGCACTTGTGTAACTTGCCAAGTAAATGGAGTGATTACTGATAATAGTATATCCACCTACCTACATATTTGTGTACAGGTAAAGATAAGTGTTTATAGTTATTAATCAAATATGTAAATTTCATTATTTAATGACTAAACTTGGACTTGGTTGTTTAGTTTTAGCAACATAATAAAATAATTTTAAATAAAGGAAGTTTTGTTACTTTTGTACATTAGGTATATTATATATTTCATTTGTGGCCCAAGACAATTTCTCTTCACACAATGCAGCCCAAGTAAGCTGAAAAGTGTTTTACAGTTTCTAAGCTTGAATTGATCAACATTATATATTGTCTGTCTTGGGATCTGAAGTGACTCATCTCTATCTCCAGTGCTGCTGTGGACATGCATTATGGTTTAGGTATAAAACGTCCCTCAAAAGTCTTGCGTTCTGAGGTGGTCACTGAAGCATGACCTGGAAAGTGTATTCTTGTCCCTAGCTCCTCCTTACTCTTTCTACTTCACAGCTGCCATGGGATGAGCATCTGTCCTCCACCATGCTCTTCCACCATGTGTTTCTGCCTTACAGCCAGGTGAGTTTGGTCTGAATCCACTGGAAACTATGAGTCAAATAAACCTAAGTTATGGATATTGGATATTTTGTCCCAGTGACAGGAAAGTGAATAGTAAAGAAAACTGGTACTAGGAGTGGGTTCATTGCTGTGACTGTGAAGCAGGAGATAGACAAAGTAGCAGACACCCTGGCCTTAGGCTCACAATAGACAAGATGTTTTCTGGCTCATAGAGATCACAGGAGCATCCTGCTCTCATCATATTTCCTTAACATCTTAACATAAACTTGAGAAATATGATGCTAATCTCACTATATTTCCTTAAGATCCTGACATGAGCATAAAAACTATACTCCTGCCCTTACCGCACTTCCTTGACCTCTAGCATGAACTTGAGGAGCAGGTATGCTAACTGGTTTAGAGTATGGTAGGGTAATCCCAAGGTCATTGTATCATTAACATTGCAGCCTTTATTCCCTCCCTGAGGACTTTGGCAGTCACACTGGTTCTGTCTAGGCTTGTGTAAGTCCATAGATTCCCCCTCCTGATGTGAAGGTGAAGAGTCACAGTTGATTGGGAAGAAGCCCAGTATACCACTCTAACAACTTCTTAAATTCTAGGAAATCAAAAGAGAAGCAAACTTGGACTCATGGAAGTTGCCATCTTGGAGTCTGCCTGCCCTCCATTCTTGAAGGTTTACTTTCCGTACTGGCAGTTGCCATCTCTGGCTCCCTTGATCCTCTGTTTTGGAGAGTGTATTTTCTTTTTTTGTTTTTTTTTGAGTTTTATGCAATTTTTTTTAGAGTTTGTGTAGAGTTTTTTCAAAGTTTTATTTAACAAATTTGGGCCACAAAAACTTAAATCTCTTCCATACACTGTATTCATGTATCTCATCCTGAAGTAACTGCTTGATGGGCACTTTGTTTTCTCTAAACTTTTTTTTTTTTTTTTTTTAGTACCAGGAATTGAGCTCAGGACCTTGAGCTTGTGAGGCATGGAGACTGCATTTTCATTACTAGCTGTTGCCATCTCTAGGTGTTTCCCACTTTGGACTTCTGCCAAATGTACCTTAATCTCAAACCTAAAACAGATGGTGCCACTCTAAGTCAAACTCACTCTTGCATTTTCTCATCAGCCCAATCCTGCTCTATGGAATGTACTTTCCTTTAATAAATCTCTGTCTTTCTTACACTTCTGTATGCCCTACTCAATTCTTTGTTCAGGGTACAATGAACCTGGATATCAGGTGAGACTGACACCAACCTGAAAGGTTAAAATTAAGCCTAGAAAAATCTCCCTTGTTCATAACAGAGTGCCATGGCCTTGTTCTAAAGATTAGATGTTGAGGTGCCTTGGCAGAGTATCGTGATATAAGCAGAAACTCCTTGTGAGCTTGGCCCAGTCTCATAGATGGGCTATTTCTTACTTATCTAGAAGACACAGATGTTTGTTCCCTTGGGCATTTGCCCAGTTCTTAGGGGCCACAAATTCCCTGCTTCTAGCCATGCATATAGTTGGAACACTGCCACTTTTGTCTCAACTCCTATTTAAGGGGCCTCACTGATAGGAGGACTTTGGAGTCTTACCTATGGAGAAGGTACTCTGACTGAACCCTTCCCAGTCAGAACCCAGAAAGCCGTATAACAGGACTCCCCAGCACTGAAATTGGAATGTCAGGTGTTGAAGCTCTTCCAATTAGTGTTGTAGTACTTTCTCTTTCTTCTGTGTAATCATGCATATGTTAATTAACAGTTTTATTAAACTTTGTTTTATTGCTTTTACCTTGGTATTAGAGGCTTTTGTTGTTTGCAAATCTAGGACTGCTAAATTAAGTAGCTGCAACTACTGTAGCCTCTTTAAGGCTACAAAACTGTCCAGTAACAATTGTACCTGACCATGTAGTTCAAAAGCCACTGGAACTGGTTTATAGGAGGCATTTGGAAATTTGGGTTAGAGAAGCCCTAGGATGTTGTGAACAGTCCTTGATACATGATACTGGTCAAAGCTGAGAAGGCAAGAATGATGATGGGAAGGCAGACAGTAAAGGCCAGGCTCAAGAGTTTTCAGTTTGGAACAAGGACTCCATTCACAGTTGGACTAGAGACCATGTATACCATGATCTGGCAGAAAATGTATCTACAGTTTCCTCATGTCCAAGACTTTGCAGGAGACTGAGATTAAGGCCAGCAGATTAATTAAATTGGAAGGGAAAATTTCAAGGTGGCCCAATGTACAGATTAAATTGGAAGAGAAAATTTCAAGGTGGCCCAATGTACAGGCTATGGCATGAATACTGCTGGCTGCTTTTAGTGAGATTTACAGTGAAAATCAGGAGCAAATGAATGGTTGAAAAAGTTTGCCGTTTCACCAGAACAGAAACACCTGAATAGCTGGAGCAAAGGAAAGCATGGTTTCAGCATGGCTGCTGAAAAGATTAGTATTAAAAGAAGTCAAGTACTTTGTACAGGGACAAGATGAAAGATGCCTTGAGGGCATTTCAGAAATCAGCAAGACCCCACCCATTGCAGGATAAAGGATACAGAACTATAAATCCTTCATTTGAAAAGAAAGTCTCTGGGATACCTGCTCATTCAGGGCTGCCTAGAGAAATGTATATCTACAAGTTCAGCCATCCAGGCATTGAGAGGTCACTGCAGCCATGATCCAAAGGGGCTCAGCTACTGCTCAAGCAGTAGCTTGACTTTAGCATCATCCATGTGGCGCTG